CTCTATTTAGTCATTAGCACTCATCAGGCAATGTCTATGGGCAACTGACTGCACTCAGACCAAAGGGGGCTGAATAATTACGCACACCCCACGGTTCAGTTATTTATCTGTAAAAAATGTTTGGAGTCATGTATGATTTTCGTTCCACTTCTCACGTGTTCACCACTTTGTGTTGGTCTTTCACCTGGAAGTCCAATAAAACTGATTCATGTTTGTGGCTGTAATGTGACAAAATGTGGGAAAGTTCAAGGGGGCCGAATACTTTTGCAGGCCACTGTATTTTAGCTTCCACCCTTCACTTTGTTGAAATGGTTTCACCTCACAGGTGAGCCTGTCAGGGTTTACTGGGACCATCAGTTGTGTTGTGCAGCAGTCAGGTTGGGACACAGCTCACAGCCTGTTTGACAACTGTTAGAATAAATATTAGAACCAATCAGCTAAGTAAAGAGAAACAACAGTCCAGCATTACTTTAAGAACTGAAGGTCAGTCAGTCTGGAAAATTGCAAGTGCAGCCACAGAAACCATCAAGACTACGATGAAACTCACATGAGGACGCCCCAGGACAGGAAGACCCAGAGTCCCTCTGCTGCTGAGGAGACATTCATCCCAGTCACCAGCCTCAGAAAGCACAAGTTAACAGCAGCTGAGATCAGAGCCCAGATAGATGCCACACAGAGCTCCAGCAGCAGACACATCTCTGCATGTTCAGAGCAGACTGTGTGAATCAGGCCTTTATGGTCAAAGAGCCGCTGAGAAACCACGACTAAGGAAAAGCAACAAGAACAGATTTGTTTGGACCAAAACACACGAGGAGTGGACGTTAGACCATCTGTGCTTTGGGCTGATGAGTCCACATCTGAGATCTCTGGTTCCACTGCTGCATGTGATGGTCTCTACATGCATGGTTCCCACTGTGAAGCACGGAGGAGGAGGTGTGATGAGGGCGACATGCCATCCCATTGTCCTGTTTTTCACCAGGACAATGAGCCCAAACTCACCTCCAGGCTGTGCCAAGGCTGTTTGACCAAGGAGAGTGATGGAGTGCACCAGGCCTCCGCAGCCACCTGACCCGAGTTATTTCAACGTCTTTGTTTACTACATAATTCCATTTGTGCTCACTCTCATATCTCACAGTGACTGAACAGGTATTCAGGTGTGTGCAGGAGTGTGAAAGAGATGACGGTGCAGGTTCAGTCTGAGCTGCTGGAGACGAGTGTGAGGAAACACTCGAGCTGCAGACTCACTGCTGGAGTCAAACCTGGGGTCCGTTCTTCGTACCTCGCTAAGTAAGTTAGCTGGATTTGATTGTTGACGATTTCGCGTGATCTTGGATCGTTCGGTTCTCCGAAGCTCATCCGGGACTTGCTGTCATAGCAACAGATCCGTAAGCGTGAACCTGCTTGGGAGCAGGCTTACTTTATGTAAACAGGATTAGATCGCGGCCACTCAGGTATGTCCGCTTCATTCATACGAAAGCAACAGCGACATTTTTCCACTGTTTTTCCATAAGTAAATATTATCAATGTAACTAAAGATAATGCAGTATTTGATTCTCTTATTGATTTCAAACAGATACATACAGGTTATTTCCTAAAAAAAGGGAAATGTACTATAAATCATTCTATTTCATGTATTTGATTATTTCAGATGTAATTCATATTTTAGAGTAGTAATAATAAATTACTTCGTGTAATCAAGATGAGAGACCACGGCTATAGAAGCGAAGGTGGATTTGGGAAGTCTGTCGCAGCCATGTCCTGTCCGTTTGTACGCGAGCAACCCATTGCAGAAGGTGCAAGATTGATAAGGAGAGCATTCAACCCTAGGGCCAGCTCCTCTGCCGGGGTGTGACGAGGGGGTGCAGGACCACCACCTGTCTTTTTTTGCTCTGCCCTTTTCTTGGTTGCTGTTATAAACAAACAAACAGATTATTTCAGGGTCTCTTTTCAAGAGACTAAAAGCAATATAAGTGATAAATATTACCATTCAGTAGAATATTCTTATATTTCACTTTTACTTGTTCCCATGTTCTAGTGGGTCCTGTTGTGGCTCTAATGTGAAAGAGGATATAATGTAATATAATATAATATAATATAATATAATGTAATATAATATAATATAATATAATATGATATAATGTAATTAATATAATATGATATAATGTAATTAATATAATATAATAAATTACTTACGAGTTTGTCAGCAGCTTTCTGCCAGCCCTCTCTCCTTGCTTTTGCAGCCTTTGCAGTGTTCCCTTGCGTTTTAATTAAACTCTGAAACTCCTGAAATCCCTCGATCAAGAGTTCTTGCTCTGCTGCCGAAAAATACTGAGCGCGCTCCTTCGACATTTTCGCCGACCAATCAAAGGGTTGCCGATCAATGTTTTTACTATCGATGCGTAGCCCCTTTTAAGCCACCCAGTGATCTCACATTACTTCATCCAGCTGTACTAATCGTCAACAACAGGTGTGTTCGGAGAACCGGAATAGCGAGCTCAAAGTTGGCGCGATGATTTGATCTTGGATGTAGTGAGCGAGGTACGAAGAACGGACCCCTGGGCTCAGTCTGTGCAGCAGATGTTCGTGCGCATAGAACAACACTGCTGCAAACCTGTGTGCTGCCAGTAAAGCTGTTATAATCGATGCTGCTCATCAGGGAAACAGACCTCAAGGTCTAAACTGTCCACATCAGGGGTTACCATGGCAACTTACCCCGGTGAGAAGGGCAGCACCTTTGTGGTACAGAGTGGAGGGTAGCTGGATACTTGGTAGTGCAGGCCGCTGCTCCTGATGATGATGTCAGGATAAGACAATCCTGGCTTTGCAGGTTCCAGGTCAGCTGACAGTCGTCCACCAATCACTGCTAAATGCAAACTAGCTTACAAATACTGGCGGCATCCTGGATGCACCTGTGGTAAGAACTCCCACATCGCTTCTTTCACAGACTTCAAGGTCCACCCCGCCCCCGTGTGACCTCATCCTTTCACTGCTGACGCGTGAATATGATTGGTTGTTTGTGTAAAAACTATAAATTTGAGCAGAAGCACTTTCTTAACTGCTCTCGCTCTTACCTGCCCGTCATCGCTTCTTCTTGGTGTGTCGTATTGGAGCGTCAGCTCGCCATAGAACGAAATGATTATTAATCCTCAGGCGTTCACATGAAACATTTTAATAACAACTGAAATCATTTCCACATTTCTGCAAATCAAAGATGAACGTTCAGAGAATACACATCCAGGTTTTACTTTGAAAAGGTCCATACAGGAAGTGATGCTCCTGGTGTTCCTGCTGTCCGTGTGTCACCGTGCGCGCCACACAAACGAGCGTCCACACACTTTTGGCACTTTCTTCATCTCAAATGAAAGACGCCTGGCAGAGTGACATCATCACTACATTGACCTGGACGTCGGCAACAGATCGGCGTTCCAGGAAGTACCAACTGACGACATGTTTTTGTTTACATGATCAACACAAACACGTAAACAGGAAGTCCATCAAACGAATCATCTGCGTTCATCTCAGTCGTCTTTTGATTGGTGGACGTCCAGACTGACGACCTGCAGCTCGGTCAGGTTGTTGCTGCTCTGTTGACTGATGACCATCTAAACAAACAAACAAACAAAGTGTGACTGCAGCGCCGCCATGTTTACAAACACATACGTGTGTGTATAGAAACGTCTCCCCGTTCAGCTGCCGACACTCGATGTCTTTTAAACGTTCTTTACAAGTAAAACTGACTCGATGTTAACGGCCGCCTGCGGGGATGTGCGTGAACGTGTCATTAATGTGTCATGTGCAGTTGGCGTGCAGTTAGCGTGTTGTGGTACCGGGTGCAGCTGGACTGCAGAAACTGGGATCTGAGTGGCGCCTGGAGGAAGAGAGGTGAGGAAGACCTGCGGCACGGCGGCTGAAAGAAGAGAAGAGTTTGTGGTTTTTCTGGAAACGTTTTCATGTCAGCAAATATTAACAGTCGGTCACCTGGGTCATGTGACTGGGTGTGGCCTGCTGGAGAGAAGGTGTTGAGGACCGTGAGGCTGCCGTCGCCCAGCGAGGGCGTTGGTGCGGCATACATCACCGTGTGACCGCCTGGGTACATCATGTGACCTGCTACCGAGGAAGAGGAGGAGGAAGGGGAGGAGACGATGGAGACGGGAAGACTCGCTGCAGAGAGAGGAAGATGGTCAGGTTGGCGGTGCTACGCTAACCCGTTATGGAACGTGTCATTGTGTTCATACCTGTGGAGGAGGCGGGGCTCTGCATGTCAGAGCTGCTGTGATTGGCGGTTGCCTGCTGGCTGCTGGTCTGTACTTGGATTGTCTGCAGCTGCTGAGAGACTCCAGGTCCTGATGACACAAAGAGGGCGGAGCTAACATTCACCTGTTGGCAGGCAAGTTAAGGAAAACGCATCGATTGACAGGAGGACGGGCGTAGCAGTGTGCTGACCTGACAGCGACACGGTGGCAGGAAGCCGCAGCAACGTAGCTGGCTGTGTGGGTGGAGCATGCAGCGTGGGGGTGGGGCCTGGGGCCACGGGGCCCTGGATGGCCAAAGACTGGCCCTGCAGCTGGCTGAGGGGGATGGTGTGTGCGCCCGGAGGCAGCGAGCCACCTGCAGACAGGTGAAGGCGTCCAGAGACAGATCAGCTGAATAAAAGCAGCAGGAAAGCCAAAAGTGTGTGGACAGGTGAAAGACCAGCAGGTGCTCAATATCTACTTTTACCTGTCAGCTGTGTCAGCAGTTGACTCCGCCCACCTACCTGACATCAAGGTAAAGCCTCCAGGAAGCACCACCCCAGCTGATGTCTTCAGCAGCGTCCCGTTGGCGGTCGAGGACGGCGGCTGCCAGGAGGGGGCGCTGGTCTGCACCTGCAGGGACGCTGAGGATGAAGAGGAGCAGGATGTGGAGGAGGAGGAGCTGGCCAGGCTGAAGGCCGGTTTGATCAGATCCTGCAGAGACACGACGTATTTAAGGGGCGGGGCTACAAGCGCTGATCCTGACATTTAAGTAACAGCACCTGGACGCTACCTTGGCGGCCTCGGAGCAGCCGTCAGCTTCTGACACCTGATAGCTGAGGTCGGTCTCCTCGAAGCCCGTGGCGCTCATCCTCTGGTCGGAGGAGGGGTCGGAGCGCGGCGGCGAGTCTGGCGAGTTCAGGCAGGTCTGGATCAGAGCTTTCCCCGTCTCTGACGTGATCATCGGCTGCTGCAGCTTCCTCGTGGCGAAGGTGTACACGTGGCCCGTCTCGCTGGCAACAAGCAGCAACACCTGCGTACCTGTGAGCGTGGACAGCTCGTACGCCTGGGGGGGGGGGAGCAGGTACAACAGGTGAACACGCCATCAGACTGAACACACCCGAACAGCTGACTGATGCTGTACCAATAACCTCACCTGTCAGGTCAACTGAGCTGAAAGCAGAGACAGTGGCTCATCTGTATTTATTGAGTTTTACTCACTGAGCTCTACTGTATTCTACTTTGATTTTTATTGACTGTTTCTACCTGCTGCACCCTGCTGGCTCCAGCCAAACTTCACCTGTCTACAGGTGAGACGCTCCTAAAGAAGCTCACTGAACGCTCAGACACACCTGCAGACCTGAGCTGGTATGTCACCCTTTTTAGCCTCCACCTGCTCCCGAGCCTCCAGGTGAAGCTCTGCAGGTGAGAGCAGGGTGATGACACACCTGTGCTCTGTGGCAGGTGAAGCTTTCATATACTTTTGGATTTTAGAAGCTTAGATTGAGACAAAACGTGAAAATAAACCCACAGCTGACCTCTGACCCCTGCTGCCTCTCACCTTCTTCATGATGCCGGTCTTCCTCTTGCTGAAGGTGGTGTACCTCCGCAGCTTGTTGTCTATGAACTCCATCTTGATCTTCACCCTGCCTCGGGTCTTCTTGCCGGGCTTCACCCCCGCCGCCCCGGGCCTCAGACCACTGTACGCCCCGCTGAGGCCTCCGGAGCTCTGCGCCGCCTGATGCCCGACCTCCCGCTCGCTCCTCTCCCGCTTCACGCCCCTCCGGTCCCCACCCGGGCCCCCCGTGTCATCGTCCTCCGCGGAGTCCGAGTCCTGGTCGGAGCCGCTGAACGCCCCCTCGGCGCTGTAGTCCCGGTCCTCCGGCGCCCCCTCGCCAGTCTCACGGGCCGTGTCCGGTTCCGGTCCGGCTGTGTCTGTGCTGCTCACGCGTCCAGGTAAGGTTCTGGAGCCCATCTCGGCCCCGCTGCCCGCCAGCATCCTTATCAGCGTCCCTCCCACCGGGCCCGGAAGATGGATCCTCCCGGTGCGCCGGAGAGACCCTCGGCGGGGCTCGGAGCTCCGCGCCGGGTCGGGGTCGACTAGCCGCACCGCTAGCTGCGTGGCTAACGGGGCTAGGCTAAGCGCTCAGCGGCTCTTCAGCGACAGGTCGCTCGGTGAGTCCGTTAGGAAGCTCCGGGAGCCCGCGGGCCGTGAGGGGAGCCGCCGGGCACACTTTCCGCAGGAAATCGATCCGGATCGATCAGAAATTAGAAAAAGTTGTGAAGTTGTTTTCACAGAGCAGCGAGGCCCGGCCCCCCACGGATCACTCCGCTCCACATAAGGAAATGACGGGCAGCTTCCGCAGATATCCGTCCGCTGTGACAGGTAGTCCGGCACTTCACAGCCACTGCAGCCACCCCGCGGCTCGGAATCGCCGTACCTCTCACCGGAAGTGTCGGGGTAGGGAGTCTTTATGGTCTGATGCGGACAGGTGCGAACTTACCGAAGCTTGTGCGCAATGATACGCAGTTCTGGGCTGTACGACCGGGACACCTTTCTCCATATAAAGAACGCGTTTCCTTTTATGGCCGCGCCTCTCCTTATATGGTCATCCTTCTTCCTGCACACCTCCAGCCTGAACAGCTGCAGCACGTGGAGATAGGATGACCACTGTGGAAGCCCAGCTGTGCCAATATGACAATAATCAATAACACAAATAAAAAGTGAAAAGATTTCATAGATTAGATTCGAGTGTCGGGTCGCAGCGTTACACCTGCTGTTATATATGACACGAGGAACATGGAGGGATGACTGCTCCACGGCAGGAAACACTGAAACAACATGCTCAGCAACCTAAACCAAACATCCCGAAAACCTGCAACGCCCCGTGAGAGCGCTCAGGTCCTCATGATGGTGCTCTCTATTCAGACTCAAATACATAAAAGCCCAGAGAATGAGAGAGATGAGTGAGCTAGACCATCTGAACTTTGACCTTTGACTGTGGGGTCAAACCGTGACCTCAGCAACATGAAATCTGAATGATGTTCTAGAGTAAAATGAAAAGTTATAAAGAAAAAACACAAACTTGGGAAATAATAAAAGATGAAAAAGAACAAATAAAAAGCATCAGATTTCATCAGACTGTTCATGGCTCCGCCCCCGTCACCGGTGAGGGTTTTCACGCAGCGTCCAGATTTCTCAGTGCTAAAGTGAAAGTACCTCAAAGGAGTACTTCACAGTACTAAACGTACTGAGTTACTTTCCAGACTGAAGTCAGATCAATACATCAGCAGAGATCAGTCTGAATCCTTTAATGAGTTTATTACATCATCACTCCTTCAGCCAATCAGTGAGCTGGGGTCTGCTGGGTGCTGCCTTGGAGTCACAAGTGCTGAACCAGGATCAGCCTCTAATCTCACCTCAGATTAGCTGTAGAGTCCGGCGGTACCTGCAGAACACACGCTATTTACACGCCACACACAACATGTCGCTCAGCGGCGCTGCAGCCGGCGGCCCCCCCTGGAGGAACCACAGCTTCATCCTGGGAGGGGGGCGAGACCCCCCCCTGACCGACCAGGGGGAGACCATCATAGGAGTCTACCTACTGCTGCTGGGTGAGCGCGCGCACACACACACACACACACACACACACACACACAC